CGGTCCCGGGAATGTCTGCCTCTGCTGCTCTGCCCCCAAGAATGATCTCTGGCAGCCAAGGTATTGATCATCTGGTTCAGTTCGGGTGGAGTCTTAGTAAGAATATCCCCTCATGGGCATAGAGACTCAATCACCCTTTGGCTGTCCGGAGAGAGAGCGCTGTAGAAGTTCCCCACTGTGAATGCATCACTAAAGCCACGATGGGGACACTGCCAGAAATATCCCATGTACCGCTCCCATGCATCACGAAGTGACTCGTCTGGCTCTTGGCTGAAGTGAGTGATCTCCCGCTGGATCTCTGTGGTCTTCGATGCTGGGTAGTACCTGTGCACGAACTTGTCAGTCAGATCATCCCAAGAAGTGATGGACAATGGGGGCTGGGTCTCCAACCACCTCTTGGCATTCCCCGCCAGAGAATGGGGGAAGAGGTGAAGGCGGATTGCATCATCAGGGACACCGTTCAGCTTGAACCCGTTCGTCAGCTGCAGAAAACGGGAAATATGTACCCTTGCCTCCTCATCCTTCAAGCTATGGAACTGGATAGATGATGTAATGAGTTGAATCAAGCATGGCTTGATCTCGAAGTTGTTCGCTGGAATAGGCGGGTAGAGGATGACCGGGCGGATGTCAGCAATCCGTGGAGTGTAGTAGTACTCCAAAGTGGGACCCGGCGGCGGTGGATGATGATGAACCCCATCTGCCTGGGGGATGGGGTTGTTCCCCAGGACCTGATTCACCGGGGGAGCCTGCTGAGGATTCCCCTGGTGTGGATTGTAATCTTCCATCTCGTACTCGTCCTCGGACTCGCTGCTCAAATGGCCGTCTATGCGCTCCTCCGTAGCCAGTCTAGCTCGCTGTTGTCTCCTGAGTTGGCGGCAGGTGCGTTCAAGCTCTGGATTCAACGGCAGTAAACCTACCGACTGGCTACGGGTCATGCACTATCTGCACACGATCAAGCAAGCAAACCCGTGAAGGCACAAGTGGGACAAAGCAAACAATGCGAAAAGAAAAGCTAAATTAACAGAATTCACTTTTCTTCAACAACCTAGCCGTCCCCGGCAACGGCGCCAAAAACTTGACTCACTCCTACTGTCACTCTAGAAAATGGCCAAGTGAAACCACTTCCTAAAGCGTAGTATAGCGGGTTTGGGTTTTAATGTCAACCCGGGTCCTAGATTTGATGACTACTCGGTGAATTCTTGTTATCTAGCAACGAAACTTTAGTGCAGGTCTAGACTAACAAATAAGCAAAGCAACTAAACGGTTGTTTTCAGGTTAAGAGAGGTCACCTGAATATGGTTCCCCCTAGACTGCAGTTAAGTCGGATTGCAATTACCAAGTTCAGTTTCTATGATAGTTATATTGCGGAAGGTTCTTAAGCAGTCTGAAGTCTCGACTAAAGGTCTCCAGACCCTCTCAATCTGAGTCTCTAGCGGGCGACTAACCTCCACCGGAGTAAACAGATTGAGGCCCTAACGAACAAAACCTCCACTACCAAAGTGAATTCGGTACAGAATAGTGAGTTGGCTCCTCGACTAAAGTCACCAACTCCCTACCTTCAATCAAGGATGCTCTATCAACCTAGGCAGATATTCTCATTCTAGGTTAAAGCAGAAACAACAGGAATTTGATCAGGATTCATGCCATTCAATCATTCAAACCTCAATTGAATATAATCAAATCATAGAATCAGTACTTGGGTTCATACAATCAAACCTAACATACAAATCTAGGGTTTCCCATACCCAGATGAATGGGAGAACTACTCCATGGAGAAAGAAGCAAAAGCAGATTCAGACGCGGAAATCATACTGTGAAGGATGGATTTCTGCCCCTGGACGTTGATCGGCACTCCTCCAAGCTCAAGCCAAGCTCCAATGGTGATGAAGATCAAGCTAGGGCACTTGGGAACTCTTGTTCGTCGCTTTCTCTCTCTAGGAATCGCTCTGTCTCTCTAAAACTCGAATCCCCTTCTGTTTTGGCTGAAATCTGCCTAAAAGGGCATCACTGGGCAAAACACGGTCGAGGGCATGGCCGTGTTCTGCTCCAGCCCGCCCGTGCCCTTGCCAAGTGTTAAATACACGGCCAGACTTTTGGGGAAAACACGGGTGTGCTTTTGGTGGGCACGGCCGTGTTTTGTCTTAATCCTACCCGTGTTTTGAGCTAGTGTTTGACAGACTCAGATCAAGTCTCGGAAGTAAAAACATGGTCTAGGAACACGGCCGTGCTTTGATTTAGGCGTGCCCGTGTTTTGGCTCCAGCTCGACCGAATGACTTCCGAATGCCCCGAAACTCGTGCTTAGCCTTTCCTTCGACGTCTGGGACCTGAAATATGACAGAGTAGGACAACCCGGCGTAAAAATAAGCCAAAAATACATGACTATGCCCCTCAAACGGATAAGAACTAGGGGTGCAAATATGTGCAATTACATCGTTATCACTTGGTATCGTTTTTAAATAGAAAAATGCAGTGTTCTTTTGGGGATGACCAAAATGTAGTAGTAGTGTGTGACTGTTCTTTCTTACAATAAAAGTTGATGGAAAATGACCACCTACTTATCTGCTGCTCCAATACTGCTCAATACCTTTTCAATTAACTCCTTTCAAGTACTGCTTTTTTTAATAACAGGTGCTTGCAGTATAGAGCTCACCTTTGCAGTTCATGTGTCTCGTGATTTGAAAAAGGTTGGCGGCATGCATTTCCTCAATGAGAAGTCAACTGTGTTTTGGGATTGTGCCGACATTGATGAGCTTTCATTGCTCGAGTTACGTTACATATACGCGACATGTGGTGGGACGATTAAACATCTTAAGTTCTACTGGAAATCTCCTTGCACCGATGCCATGTCGGAGATTGCTAATAATGAAGACTTCCTAAGTATGGCAACATTAGCCAATGGAGATGAAAGTCTCATCGAGTTGTATGTTATCTCTGACAATAATATTCAAGATTTCATGGACAGTGGATTGGAGGAAGTGGGCGCTACCAGTTTGAGAAGAAAGATGAGAAAGGGTGTTGAAGATGAGAGTGAAGATGATTCTTACTATGACGTGGAAGAAGACAGTGACTGTGTGGATTCTAAATTAGACGACTTGAGTGATGGTGACAATGCACAGTTTAAAGCAAATGTAACTAATTAAAGAGGTGGAAGCTTACATGGGCAGCTTTAAAATGGGTGATGGGCAGCCTGAAATAGAGGAGGAAGGGTCTCAAGACTCGGATGATCGTAGGAGCATTGTAAGCAAGGAATCAGATGATGGACACCAATCTCGGGAGTTCCAGGTTGATCGAGCCATGGAGGCTGAGTTTTGCTGCTTGCCAGAAGTTCAGCAACTTTGGCATTTTGAAAGATGCAATAAAGCAACATGCTTTCATCGAAAAGAGGCTTGTTCACTTCAAAAAGAATGATAAGCAAAGGTTGCAAGAAGTGTGTGATCCACCATGCGATTGGTACATATGTGCTTCGAAGAGGAAGGGTCATTTAAATATTTATAAAATTTATTTTGTATATTTTTACTTTTATGTCACACAGACTTTGAATGAAATCTTGACTACGTTACTAACTCTAAGAATGCATTCTTTCTTAAAAAAAAATTTAAATGAGATCTTTGACTGAGTTCATGTTAAATTTTACATAATTTATGATACTAGTCAATATTATTCATGAACTTTTAAATTCGGAAAATAAGCTTCTTTCAATTTTATTTTCACCTTGAGTAATTTGACAATTTACTTGTATAATTATTTTCACCATGCCATACTCGGTACAACATGCCATTTTCTTTTTCCGCCCTTTTCAACTCTCTTTCTATCATTGATAAATATTTCATTCATGTTTAAACTCGAATTAAAGATTCTTATCGAAGAAAAATTGTATGTAATCTAAAAATATATATTATTTTTATATATGTTAAATCTAAAAGTTCTAACCCTAATAAAAAAGTCATATTCATGAGAGGCCAGTTTGCAATATTAGTAAAAGGTTGCTATGACGTATGTACTGATCTAGTGTTGTGAGGTATATGTTATGTACTATGGTGAACCATCATGATAATTTTTTTTTAATTTGATGATAAACCTTGGTAAGAACAATTTACCCCATGGGAAAAGATGATTCTTCAGACTGATTCACCATAGTACATAACCTATATCTCAGAGTAAAGGATTAGTACATGTGTTCATAGCAATATTTTACTACTATAATAAAGTGAGATCACATTAGGGAAATGTTATATATTAGGGTGAATCACACTGGAAAAACACATTTCTTTATAGTGGTTTGCCATATAATATGATATTTATGTTTTATGGTGAAACACTCCGGAAAATTGTCTTTATTAAAAATGAACAAAATTTCACAAATCCAAATCAAATAATTTTTATTTTAAAAAAGATATCAAATAAGTTGCATAATAATTGATTAAGATTATGGTAGACATGCCAACCACCTCTATAGTGGATTGGCACACAAGGTCCATTTAAACTCTCTCACAATATAAAAAGTCATTTTTTGAGTTGTCTAAATTACAAATTTTGTCTTAAAAAAAGTAAACATTCGGTTGTTGGTCAGTGTGGTGCAATGCCAATTTGGTGTGGAATATGATTAAAAAAAGAGGAAATGTGGTGTAAGGATACAGTGCAGTGTTGTCATGAATGATAACTTAATGTCGAACAATAATTTGGTTTAGCAGTTTTATTGTTGGTTTTCTATATGTAGGTTTCAGGTTTCAATTTCTTAAGTGGTATGTAACAATAAAATTAAACCGATATCATCCTCATAAAAAAAAAGAATGGACACCTAATGATGTTAATATGGTGCAACTAAAAGAGTATGCATAAATTTGATAGAAAAGAAGTTTGTATTGAGTAAACTTGTACCTCTAGATTTCTCAAATTCCCTGATAAAAAAAGATTTCTCAATTCATTTTCTTTTATTTCCTAGTGCCGGTAACACCTTTCTGACCTTTAGAGACTGTCTCATAAACCGTCTCTTCAATTTTCAATCTTTCTTTATCCCCTGGAACCCGGCTTCTCGAATCCTAGAAAACCCCCCAATTTCAATTGCTTCCAGCACGATATCCTTCCTCAAATCCCTTTCAATGTTGACCTCAACTTCCGTCGCCATTGGGATTTCTTCGGACTCCTCTTCTACTTTCACAATTTCTTCCATTTTGGTCCTTGTATTGAATATCGTCTTGTCAATCATCTTTCTCATCTCCCAACTCCATATCCATCGCCGTTTGCAATAATCATCTTAGCAGAAGGATCCTTATTAGCTTGATCATTCCACTCTGTGTTTGGAATATCAGTTGCATTTTTTTTTGTAAAAAGATATCATGTATTGATCCAAAAAATAGACAGTTAAACCGTGGAAACCAGCCAGGCCTGGAACTCAAAGAAGCGACTCATAGTCGGCTACAAAGAAAGGGCTTTCCTAGCTACCAAATTAGCTACCCTATTGTTTTCCCGACCTACAAAACGCACACTAAAGCTAGGCGGAGTACGAAAATAATGACCAATCTCTTCCAGAACAGCACCCAACCGACTATCTCTTGTGTCGGCTTGATTAAGTTTGTCAATAATCACCTTCGCATCGCCCTCAAACCGGACCTCCGACAAGCCTTGCTTCACACACCAAATAATAGCTTCCCTGAGCACAAGCAATTCCACCACAACAGGGTCATCAATTTGAGGAAACTGAACCCCTCTAGCCAGAAGGAGTGTCCGCACTGGGTCAAGAAGAACCATCCCACCAGCCGAATGCGGCCCACCCTTAGTAGCCCCATCCCACATGCAAACCAAATGGGAATCCCCACTTGCGATGTATGTTGCATCAACGGGGATCGCCACCCTAGGAGCCTGGTCCGCTGGTAGACCCACCCATTCCTCATACTGTTGATTAAATTGCCGCATTAGTGCTGAGATCCCAAATTGTTTGCCTTCAAAGACTACCCAATTTCGAGATCGCCAGATCCTCCAAAGGATGGCAACAACAGCCATAACCACTGACGGTTGATGAATCAGCGCCAACAGGCGTTTGAGAAACAAAGGAAAAGTGTGCCGAGGCAAACCCTCCCCCAAGTAATTCATCCCTGAAAAGTCCCAGAGAGCCCGCGCAACCGGACAATAAAGGAACAGGTGTTCCATCGTCTCTGTACCATCCCAACAAACTGGACACCAAGGTAGCACCTGGACCTTTTTCTCAATAAGCACCTCCGTAGTCGAAAGAGCCCGATTGAGAATTTGCCAAACAAACACCTTCAACTTAGGAGGGATCTTCGCCTCCCACACTCTAATCCAACTCGGCTTATCCATCCAGCTAACCGAGGATCGCCACCCACCTCTCCTCCTATCCAAATCGACAGCCAAATGGTAAGCCGACTTGACCGAGAAAATCCTGTCGGCCGTAAAATGCTAGATAAGCTTATCAGGCACCTCCCATCTTGGGAGAGGGATAGATTTAATAGCCCTACAGGTGGGCGGATCAAACCATTGACTAAGCTTCTCATCAGACCACCTCCCTCCCCCCTCACAAATAACCCCCGCCACCAAGGGATCACCCCCTTCAGGCAAGATCCGCAGATTATAGCATGGGGGATCAAGTTGGTACCTAGGAATCCAGTTAGAATGAAGGAGGGAGACCGACTGAACATTACCAACCTGCCATCTTAAACCCACGTCCAATAACTAACGTCCATGAAGGATACTTTGCCACCCCCAAGAGGGACGAGACCTTGTAGTCGCGGTCATGAAAGACCCTTGAGGGAGATACTTGCCTTTATAAACCTGGGCAATGAGTGAGTGAGGTTCATTGAGAATACGCCAACCTATCTTAGCCAAAAGAGCTTGGTTGAAATGTTCAAACTGGCGAAATCCCATCTCCCATCATGCTTACTCCTGCACATGTTTCGCCAGGACACCCACCTAAGCTTGGGACTACCCTCCTCAGCACCCCACCAAAAACGGGCCACATGTCTATCTAATAGACGACAAAGAGCTAGGGGAAGACGGAAACAGGACATAACATGAAGGGGAAGTGCCAACGCTATGGACTTAATCAAAGTTTCCTTCGCAGCCCACGACAATGTCCTTTGCTTCCGCCCCTGAAAACGCTCTAGGAGTTTTTCCTCCAAATATCTGAACGTAGCCATTTTGGACTGAGCAACCAGAGTGGGGAGCCCCAGATATTTATCGTGGACCCCCACTGCACCAACCCCTAGGATCGTGGCCAAGAACTCCTGATCTGGTGTGGAAATATTCTTACTAAAGCACACCGCCGATTTCTCCAAGTTAACGCGTTGGCTACTCAGTTCCTCATATTCATTCAGCACCTCAATTAAATTCTCGCACTCCTGAAGAGAACCTCGCAAGAATAAGTAAGAATCATCCGCGAAGAAAAGGTGCGAGACTCTTGGAGCACGAGGAGCTACTTTCACCTCCTCTATTTTTTTTTTCCGAGATCGCCTTTCGGAGGAGGGCTGCAAACCCCTCCGTGCAGAGCACAAACAATAGAGGAGAGAGCGGTTCCCCCTAGCGAAGGCCCCTAGAGGCAGTGAAATAACCCGAGGGTGTACCATTTATCAGAACTGAGAAAGAGGAAGATCGAAGACATTCATGTATCCATCCTTGCCAAACTGAATTAAAACCCATCTTATCCAAAACTGCAAGAAGGAAGGGCCATTCGACTCTATCATAGGCCTTTCTATGTCAACCTTCAGAGCCATGTACCCCTTCTTCCCTTGCTTTTTTATTTCCAGATAATGCATTAGTTCATGTCCAATAAGGATGTTATCAATAATCTGCCGGTCTCTGATAAAACCATTCTGGCCCTCCGAAATGATCTGAGGGAGCATGCTAGCCAGCCGTTCAACCATGATCTTGGTAATCACCTTGTAAACAAACTGACAGAGGCTAATCGGATGCAATTGTCTAATTGTTTCCACCAAGTCCACTTTAGGGATCAAAGTGAGCCAAGTATGGTTAAAACTCCGCAACATCCGACTCGAGGTAAAGAAGGAAATTACTGCTTCAACCACCAAAGTGCCCACAATATCCCAGAAAGCTTTAAAGAACTTCCCTATGAAGCCATCCAATCCCAGGGCCTGCTTCGATCCTATGGAAAAGACCGTACTCCGAACCTCACTAGGCAAAACCTCCGCCATCAATTGCGCATTCATTTACGGCGTAACACTATGGGCAATCGACAGACTCGCCACCCTCTCAGCCATATTAGGAACCTGATTTTCCGAGGTAAACAGGGTCTGGTAAAAGTTGGTGGCAATAGTAGCCTTCCCGGTTTCCTCAGTGACCCATTCACCCTCCTCATTTCGAAGCCCAGAAACAAAGTTTCTTTTCCGCTGCGCTCTTGTGACCATATGGAAGTAGGCAGAATTTTGATCTCCTTTTTTTAACCATTTAACCCTGGATTTTTGCTGCCAGTACACCTCCTCCGCTTCCCAATGTCGGGATAGCTCCGTTTCCGAGGTCCTGATCTCATCCCAATCTACCTGATGGATCGACTTAATCCTATCAATCTCGGCTTGGAGCGTCTTGATATTGCGCAGGGAATTAGTTGTGCCCGCCCTGCTCCAATCGTAGAGCAGATGACGGAGTTTCTTTAGGCTCTCCCACAGTCGAAACATAGGGGTCCCTTGGATCTCTTCCTGCCAGACATACTGGACCATAACCCTCACTTTGGGATTATCCGCCCAGTGGGCATCAAAACGGAATAGAGGCCGACTATTCCGAGCATACGATTTATCTGCGAGCAGTAGGGCCCGATGATCCGACCCCTGGTTTGTGAAGTGCTTGACCAGTGTCTCCGGGTAGGTATCAATCCAGGACTGCGAGCAAAGAGCCCTATCCAGACGTTCCCGAATACACGCTGCACCCATACGTTTTTTTGTCCAAGTGAATTGATTCCCTTGAAAACCGGGATCATGGAGGCCCAAATCATGAACAAAATCTCTAAGACTGACGGCTTGGGCACCATTCCAATCCCGCCCCCCATCTTTTTCACCCACGTGAAGAATAGTGTTGCAGTCACCTATGATTACATAAGGGTGAGTAATATTCGCACAAACCTCTTGCAGCTGAGCCAACTGAGTAGTTCTAAGAGCAACATTACAGCTAAGATAAACAAAGATCACCACATAAGAAAGATCTCCTTCATTAATTTGCGAACAAATACAAAAATTTGAATGGAAAAACACCGAAGCGTCAACCCCGGGGGACCAAGCAACTACTAAAACACCTGATGCATCGACTGCATCTACAAAGAAACAATGCGAAAAAGCAAAACCTAACCCCACATACGGCGGGACACTACACGCCGGCTCGATCGAGTCTCCGAAAAAACACGAGATCCGGTTTATTGGAATGAACAAGCCTTAAAGCAGTTTGGAAAGTGAGGGATGGTCCAATTCCTCTCACATTCCAGGCCAGAATCCTCATTTATCGGCCGGGGGCCACTCGAGGCTGGCTTCCTCCACCTTTTCCAAACCATCAACAGTTTTCACAAATTGTTTCTTCGGAGTAGGGGGGTCACCTACATCCCCATCCAACGCATCAATCCCCCTCTTCTGATTCTCCATGATTGAGCCCATCAGATTAGACCCGTATTCATCCAGGTTAAATCTCGACCCCTTGGGAGGAGCACCTTCTCCTGCTCAAAGACAAGCCCAGCCTCAAATGCTTCCACTACTTAGTGGACACACCCTTTCATGACTTGACAGGCCTTCGTAGAGCCCCCACCTGGTGAACGATGTTTGATCTCAAATGAATTATGATCCCCAGGCGAGTGATCTCCATCAGAGTTAGAATCTTTCTGGTGATTCTCATAAACAGGACCATCTAGAGGCACAACAAACTCCTCCTCCTCCAGCTCATGCATAACACTAGGTGAATCAGAGCCCACCTCCTACTTGGCCACATTCAATAGGCCTTTAGCACCAGCTTTCCTCAGTCGTGGGCGAACCCGTGATAATGCAACCCCTGGTTGGGTCCTAGTTTTGGTAGATAGCCGGGGCTCCTTCAGCAATGAAAGACCAGAATCCTTATTACCCGCTAGCTCCTCCTCTTCTGATTCCTCTTGCAGGATCAACCTACACCTCTTGGACTGCTCAAGAACTTCCACCATAGCATCCTCCTTCTGCTGGCGTTGGGGGGCCTTCCTGGCACGCTATCTGGCTATTGGTGACCCTTGGAGCCCTGTCGAGGAAGGGAAGCAATCTTTTTAGGTGACTACTTTTTCTGGAACTGCCTCACACCACCACCAATCTTAACCTGATGAGACGTCTTGAAGACAAACCGCTTAGGACTAGCACGATTCCCAGCCAGCTTGGTATTTGGTTCATGCAGCCGAGGCTGTGTCTCCATGCTAGCTTGAGCTGTCCGCTCAACAGACATAGTGTGAGACAATCCTTGAGCCTGAGAGCGATCAGTAGGCCCTGATGGAGCCTCTTGCACTCGACCCCGAGAAGTCTTCACGCTCCCTCTATTGCACACTTGCACATTCCTGTTTATCCACACAGATTTACTTGTATTCCGATAGGTCGGGTAATCTTCCTCTTCCATGTACAACTTCCTTCTTAGCTTCCTTGTTGACATGTGGTGGCCAAATCGTTCTTTGCCCGGAGGTGGGTCGAAAACACAGTCATGTTTCGAGTGCCCCACTCGGCCACAATGAAAACAGATGGTCGGTAGAAACTCGTACTTGAGATTTACCCAGAAGTTACCAAGTTCCCATTGACCGCCATGAACTGGGGTCGCACAGGCTTTGTAAAATCAATGAGAACGTGTACTTTTACAAAGCACTCCTCTGGGTCCTCTGACGAAAATACATCTGCCTCCAAGACCTGCCCAATAATCCCAGCTGCAACCTTCCGCCCAAACTTCCTAGTGCAACAGTCCTCTTTGACATTCCAGAGTTGCACGCGGAAGGGTGCGATGGCTAGCTCATCAAACGTAAGTCTTGAAATAGATGGAACCCATGAGAGGAGGTGGAATATCCTATCCTTGACAATCCATGGCGTTCTTTTCAGGATCCACACCCTTGTCTCATCATTTGGAAGAACCACCTCATACAGTCAAAACTTAGTGAGCGTAGCCCGAAGGTTTCCTTTCACGCGCCAAGCTTCGATTAAGCCATGTCTCAATTCATTGATAGTGAATTTGTTTTCCGAGAAGAGCCTACCCAAAAGTGTCCTTGAAGTGCGAAACTTCACAGACTGAACCTCCTCAAGCGAGAATTCAACCACTTGATCCTCCGCAATGCGCGACATCATATTCACCTGATAACAAGGAATAGATAAATTAGTTGGGTCATGGAAAGTGGCTGGTTCAGTAACCGAGGCAGCATGAGGCAGAGGCCAATCAGCCTTTACTGTATTTAAAACCATCGCATGGTTCCTGGCCTCCTTTCCCAGTGAGACTTGCGGCAACACACTAGAGGGTATATAGAGGGGGACTTTGACACTCGAAAGTGTAGGAACCTTTAGCGAAGCAAAAGTAATGGTATTCACGCCAACAGATAAAACTTTACCTGCCGAGAAAATTGGAGCCGGAAGCTGCTGGCCGGAGAGAACGATCGATCGAACCCCAGAATCTGGAGCAGTACACGCCGGGAGCTGCTGGCCGGAGAGGGCGACTGATTGAACCCCAAAGTCGGAAGCAGTAGGACGCCGGCAACCAAGATCTCTCACTTCTGTATCTAGTTTTAGCTTCCGGGAGTTATGAAGTGGCAGGCAAGCATGAGCCGAACCAAATTTATAGGGAATAAATCCTGCAAATCCCCCGAAGAGGCGTATCTCCCTGTGACACCCGGAAAGCAGAGGTTGTTTTGTACTAGGCCACCTCTCTTGGGGGGAAACAATTGATTTTTTTATTTTAATTTGTTATCGCAGATTGCGCGAAACCAAATAAGAGATTTGGGGGATAACCCATCCTTACCCAACCGGAGGATTCGCATCTCCTCCAACCAGCGCCGTTCATCGGCGACGCCAGAGCATTCGCGCAAATCTTTGCTGGAGACCTTGGGTTGTCGTGGTGCAAAACGATGCACCTGCTGCCTCTTCGATGGAGACAAAGCGGGAACCCCAGCTTTGGAGGAGCCCACACGGTCAGAAGGCTCACTTGCAGCTTCAATGGCGGTGGAACTCATCCCGTCGCCATTAGATCCCAATACGGGAACAATCCCACCCCATAAGGGAAAATCTTAACACAAGATATCACAGAGGTCCAATCGATTGGTTTCAGTTATGGAACTCTATAATCTTCTCCCCGCGAACGAGGTTAACGCTGGATCGTCAGCCTACAAATCGGACGATTGAGGGAGCCAAAATCTCCAAATCGCCTTTGGTCCCTGTTTCTTTCTCTTAGATGGACGAACGGTTGGATTCTCTGGTGAAGGAAAAGCCCTCTGTACCGAATGATTGTTGGAGCGGCCCGTCATACCTCCACGCCGGCCAACTTCCCGATCAGTCCTTTGCGGACAACTGACCTCCTTGATGGCGAGAGGGGTGCCTTTTATTCCTTGCCCCTGGGTATTGCTTCTAGCAAATGAAATCGGTCTTGAAAGCCAGCTCCCTGTGTGATGGTTCCGCAAGCACACCGTGAAGACGGCGGCGGCGGCTCTTGAAAGCCATTTTCCGAAAAGCGAACAGACCAAAAGGAGAGAGGAGATAACCTCTCTAATTATTTTTTTTCTTTCATCTAAAAGTTTTTCGAATATCAGTTGCATTAACCACTTGTGTATTGTAATTTTCTGGTGGACCAGAATCAAGGAAGCTACTTTCATCCTACCCATCCGAGTTGTCCTCCACGCCCATACACCAAAAAACCCGTATTAGTTGAATATGTCTTTGGAGCACAAATTCTCTTTCTTGTGTTATTATTAGGCCCCATTACCAAATCACACAACCCTTTCTCTTCGGGCCCAAAATACAACATCCAGTCCAAGCCATCAGAGACATAGATTTTCCAACATAGTTTACAAAGCCAACTGACTCCTCATCCAAATTTGGGATGGCGGTGCCATTACACTTCTGTTCAGTCACATTAAAACCTCTATCAGATTCTCCAATTTCCTTCTCCTCCCTGGCATGGACCCTTCCATTTACTTCTTGATCTTGGTCACTATCACTGTTGGATATTGTGATGCATATGCCCTTAGCCTTCTACCCCCAAATGGTTGATTTCAATTTGACGGAGAGCCTCTTCACCGACAATGGTTCAACAACCAAGCTCACGTGAAAAATATCCAGCCCCGATCGCAGCAAAATCTCATTCAACACTATCCCCGAACACTACATTTTGATATGGATACTACTTGTAGTCCAATAGCGATAGTCTAATTCCAGAAACCGCACGCTTCACTCTCTTACATGTTGCACAAACCTCAGATCTACTTGCATCATTCGTCTAGACGTCCTTTAGGCAATCAAACTCTTGAAATTATTTTCAATGCGCCACCAAGAATATTCACTTTATCTCTGCCGGATTTGCACATATTAGACTCCATAAATTATCACTCATTCAGTCAGGTCATACCCTTCAACCAGACCCAAGATCTCAACACCTAGAGGCGGAGCCAAGATTTAGGCAGGAGGGGGGTGGGGAGTTTTCTTCATATATTATTGTAAATGGCTAAAAACTAGGAATACAATAAATATTTATAAAGAAAAAAAATATTTTATGATATTATAACGACACAAAATTTTTGCACAGTAAGTTAAGTTTGAAAAATATAAAACATTTAATTATGCGTATAGTATTGTATGTTATATTCTATTTTAATAATAAAAATGAATGTATACTAATATTAGTATTGAGAAAACATTATTCATTATAGATCTAAAAAATATTGGACTTTGCTACGGTGACATGCATGTCACGGTGACATGCACTTTTCGGTCGACCTCATATAGGATTAGGTCAACCTAATATGTTGTTTCAGTGTAAAAACAGTTTCATGGTGTGTACTTTGGAAATTCATATCTTACAATTGGCTAAATGGAAATTTGAGATTAAAGGCTTGTTTTGAAGCTGAAGTGTCCCTCTACACATTAAAGTACTTGGGAGCTCAATAAAAAGTCCGGAAGGCCATTTTTGAACCTGACCAAAAGGCTATGCCAAAACTGGGAAACTGCCTGAAAATGGCTAAGTCTGGCAACGTGTTTGTCAAGCCTACTTTGGAGCTCAATTTGAGAAGCATGGATGCGAGTCAAGTCCAGGGGCCTCTACCACGTTAAATTACGTATTTTTTTATACAAAGGCAAGGCATTGGATGAAAGATTGAATATCTTTAAGGTTTCAAACATAAGGCTCGAAGTTGCTACGAAGGCTGTTTTTCTGGCAGCTTGCTTGTGCTCGAAGTCTGTCAGAAAAACAGCCTTCGTAGCAACTTCGACCCTTTTGTTTGAAGCCTTACAGATATCCAATCTTTCATCCAATGCCTTGAATTTTTATAAAAACATACCTAATTTAACGTGGTAGAGGCTCCTAGACTCGACTCGCATTCATGCTTCTCGAATTGAGCTCCAAAATAGGCTTCACAAACACGTTTCCAGACTTGGCCATTTCCAGGCAGTTTCCCTGTTTTGGCATAACCTTTTGATGAGGTTCAAAAATGGTCTTCTGGACTTTCTATCGATCTCTCAATCACTTCAATATGTAGAGGGACACTCCAGCTTCAAAACAAGTCATTAGTCTTCAATTTCAATCTAGCCAATTGTATGATATGAATATCCAAAGTATGCACCATGAACTGTTTTTACACTGAAACAACAGATTAGGTCGACCGGAAAGTGCAAGTCACCGTGACATTCATGTCACCGTAGGCACACCCAAAAATATTCTATTTTTACAACAACAAAAAAATGAATGTCTACCATTATTAGTATTTATAAAAGAACTTCAACAATCAAACTTATTACTTTCATTTTGTTTTCTATTTTTTTCCAACTCTGAAAACAGAAAGTGGCAACTTCCTGCTGTGTTCAGAAACGACAAAATGTTGTTTTCACCTATTTTCAATGATTGCATCGGTATTCCACTTAATTGCTACTGCTAAAAATACATAAAAATACTACTAAAACTATTTTATTCTTCTCTTCTTTCTATTAGACTTGAACCACACACAAAGTACATATCTATTGGACAAACATCCAAAACCCTAATAATTAACCCTAAAACTATTCGGCCGTGTTAATAGGCCGCCAAGCCACAGTCCCTATACTGATCATACTCCAACACACAACCTACCACAATCCCATAACGTACAGTACCCGAATTCCTTCACACTAATTATAATATACGAATAATCTTACTAGTTACTACTAATAATAATAATTATTATGTACTCATCATTGAACTTCCTATCTTTGCTGCCCCATATTACTCAAACTTCCTAGTTCCATGAATCCATTATCTCTCATCCTCACTCCCCACTCTCTTGTTTCCCAGCCCACTCTCTTTCTCTCTCTGGACAGTAGCTAGGTCAGATTCACCATGTTCCGTGAGCACAAATGCTTACTGCACAATATGCTCATTCAGTTGAGATTATCCATACTGCTCAACAGCAGCAGCTCCTCCCACGTCCTGTGCCCTGGCATTTCCTCCACAGCCTGTAGGTATATACATTACAAACACATCAAATCACCAGTCAACACCCAGATAGCTAGGTTTTAACCATCTCCAGGGCAAGCTCAAGACACATTCTCTAACATTTATATATTATTGCACACATGATGGTCAAACGTTCACCTGTGAGAGCAGATCTTCGATATGAACCGGAGGAGTTGGTGCCAGCTGCCTTCTAGAAATCATGGGTTTAGTGAGAGAAGTAACTAGCTAGAAGAGAAAAATGGCATGGCTACTTAACCCTTCAACGTATACCTGTATGGGAGAAGGACATTGGAATTCTGGAAGTCTAGGACTTGGTTTTGTGGATCATGATAGTGAGGAATCCAATCCAAGACAGTCGGAGGCAATTCGTTGGTGGTGATTGCGAGGTCATTTGCATCATGATCAAGAGGAGGTACCTGAACCTGCAAAATCATATAGCACAGAATGTTCAGGTAATCAAGCACACACATAACACAACTTAATATATTGTAGAAGGGATTTTTTTATTTTTTGAGTAGGTGTCAATATGGGTGGGCATCGGTCAGGTTCGGTCAAAACTAAGTCGAATCTGAGATAAGTCACATTTTTTTTTTTGCTGAAGTTCGAACCACAACCAAATCAAAAGGTTTGGGTTTTACCTAACAGTCGATATAGTCTTATGCTAATTAGTGATGGTCGGGTTTGGAGCAGTCTAAGGGGAAATCATGAAGTCTAAGAACCGGGAGGAAGGGGATGATTGTGGCTTGAATTTTGGGAGTAGAGGGAAGTCGATTAGTGGGAGTGGGTGGTCAGATGTAAGTGGGTTGGACTTATAGGTAATTTAGCAGATTGAAAATCTGTTAGAACATACCAACTGATCACTGAGAAATTCAAAGCATTCAATCGATTTCTGATTCGAGGAGAAAGATAGTTCATTTAGGTTTCATTTTGAGTTGACTTGGTTTGGATTTCTCGAACAAGATGTCTACTTGTCACTCCCTAGTTTGGAGGATAGTTGGTCTTGACATGGATGCTGTATGGATGTCTTGCGGAAGAGGAGGAGGAGAATAAGAAAAAGGACAAAAGCACTCTTGGACTGGATTTTGGTTTAACCTGGAAGCTATTGTCACTTGTCTGTAAGGCCTCAACTTCAAATAGACCAGTTCATCTACTTGAAACTCTAGTTAGGTAAGATGACGATTTGTTAATTGCTTTTGGCGGTTTTGAGCTATGGCCAAATTGTCTCTCAGTACTCCTATCAATCTGTCGTTTCTGCAACTTCTCAGGCACTGATACTACTAATGTGGACAGAGGATTCCTAAGCTAAAATGACTAGGAGGTTAGCCACTGCTCCCACCTTCCTCTTAATAAGAAAAGGACAAGATCACTATGGGATTAGATTTTGGTTTAATGTGGAAGCTACTGTCACTTGCCTGTAGGGCCTCAACTTCAAATAGACCAGTTCATCCACCTAAAACTCTAGGTATATACGATGTCGATCTGTTAATTAATATTGGGGATTTTGAGTCATGCACAAATTGTCTCTCAGTACTCCTATCAACCTTTGTTGTTTTTGCAACTTCATGCACTGATACTACTGATGTGGACAGAGGATTCCTCAACTCGAAATGACTAGGAGGTTAGCCGATGCTCCCACCTTCCTCTTAATAAGAAAAGGACCAGATCACTATGGGATTAGATTTTGGTTTAACATGGAAGCTATTGTCACTTGCCTGTAGGGCCTCAACTTCAAATAGACTAGTTCATCCACCTAAAACTCTAGGTATGTACGATGTCGATATGTTAATTGATTTTGGCGATTTTGAGTCATGCACAAATTGTCTCTCAGTACTCCTATCAACCTTTGTTGTTTCTACAACTTCTCATGCACTAATACTACTGATGTGGACAGAGGATTCCTCAGCTCGAAATGACTAGGAGGTTAGTCGATGCTCCCACCTTTCTCTTAATAAGAAAAGGACCAGATCACTATGGGATTAGATTTTGGTTTAACATGGAAGCTACTGTCACTTCCCTGTAGGGCCTCAACTTCAAATAGACTAGTTCATCCACCTAAAACTCTAGGTATGTACGATGTCGATCTGTTAATTGATTTTGGCGATTTTGAGTCATGCACAAATTGTCTCTCAGTACTTCTATCAACTTTTGTTGTTTCTGCAACTTCTCATGCACTGATACTACTGATGTGGACAAAGGATTCCTCAGCTCGAAATGACTGGGAGGTTACCTGATGCTCCCACCTTCCTCTTAATAAGAAAAGGACCATATCACTATGGGATTAGATTTTGGTTTCACGTGGAAGCTACTGTCACTTGCCGATATGGCCTCAACTTCAAATAGACTAGTTCATCCACCTAAAAATCTAGTTATGTAAGATGACGATCTGTTAATTGATTTTGGCGATTTTGAGCCATGCCCAAATTGTCTCTCAGTACTCCTATCAACCTTTGTTGCTTTGGCAACTTCTCAACCACTGATACTACTGATGTGGACCAAGGATTCCTCAGTTCGGAATGATTAGGAGGTTAGCGCTACTCCCACCTTCCTCTTAATCATAAAAGAACCCTAGCAATCTAGGACTAGATTTTCATTTACCCTGGAAGTTACTGTCACTTGCCTGTAAGGCCTCAATTTCAACTAAACCAGTTCATCCACCTGAAACTCTAGTTATGTATGCCGACGTTGCTAATTGCTTTTTACGGTTTTGAGCCATGCACAAATTCTCTCTTAGTACTCCTATCAACCTTTGTTCCTTTTGCAACTTCTCAGCCACTTATACTACTGATGTGGGCAGAAGATTCCTCAGCTCGAAATGACTAGGAGGTTAGCCACTGCTCCCACCTTCCTCTTCATTAGAAAAGGACCATAGCGCTCTGGACTAGATTTTAGTTTAACCTGGAAGCTGCTGTCACTTGCACGTAAGGCCTCAACTTCAAGCAGACCAGTTCATCCATCTGAAACTCTAGGTATGTACGATGCGATCCGTTAATTGCTTTTGGCGGTTTGGAGCCATGCCAAAAATTGTCTCTCAGTACTCCTATCATTCTTTGCTTCTTTTGCAACTTCTCAACCACTAATACTACTGATTTGGACAGAGGATTCCTCAGCTCGAAATTACTAGCAGGGTAGCCATATAATGCTTCAAAGAGAGTGATCCTCAAGATGCTTTGGAAATTGGTGTTGTACCACCATTTTGTAAGTCTCAACCTAGTGTTCCTATGCTGGGAGAGCAAACAATGATTCTAAGATAATCCTCCAAGCATCCGTTAAGTATTTCCATTTGCCCATCACTTTGAGGGTGATACGCAGTGGAGTAGTGTACATGAACTCCTTGAAGATCAAACAAGGTGGACCAGAAACTGCTGGCGAATAGTGCATCTCTATCACACATAATGGTCTGTGTCATACCATGAAGTTTGAAAATGCCAGCAAAGAAGACCTAAGCCATCCTCGTTGTTGTATAAGGTATTGTCAGGAAGAAGAAATGCCCATATTTGAAGAAACGATAAATGATTACAAACACAATTTCTTTGGCAACAGATTTGGGTAAGCCATCAATGAAGTCTGTTTATATATGCTATCAAGCTCTCTCTAGAATAGGGAGAGCTGCAGGAGACCTAGGTAAGGCATATTCTATGGTAACTAGCTTGGACTCCATAGTGTTCACCTCCCTGAAAATCATGAAGCAATGATAGTACCTGATGTCTCATTCCACCAACTGACGCCACATATAGACGGTTTTACGATATAGTAGGCTCTACTTAGCTAAGTTTATTCGAGGACCTACAAATGGAACTGTAGCTTTCACCATAAAAGCCTACACATTAGGATCACCCACATAAATATGCTTCTAGTAAGGAAAGGGAGAGTGCTTCCAGTATCAATCAAGACCAATATTGTCACCTTCTTCACTCCGCCCTTAATGATCAAAGAGCTGGCTACTACACCACTACTTAAATCTTGTATGGTCACCTATACTAGTTCCTGACATGATTGCTCAACATATTCTTCCACTATCTCAAAATTCTCATCCCCATGGCTCAGGAGTTATCATTTCCTCTTCAAATGAGGATTATATCTCGCCATCCGAGACTACAATTCCTCAAACTTCTCCTGGTAATTAATCTAACAAAGAGCCTCTCTATGTAGTTTGTTAAACTCACCAATCAAACTTACACAAAGCAACCACAAATTCTTTCCAGTGGAGCTCTCTTTATCCTACTATCCAACATTCAAATCATATGTCTACCCTACGCTCAAAATAGATTGCTTCTAATCATATATCTCAAACAACTTCTCACACTCCCAAGTCCACCCCTTAGGATTCTCGCCAGAAGAGTAAGGAAAATTAAGACGAGGCGATTGATACTAATTGTTACCGCAATTTGGAAAGATGTTCACCTATTTTGCAACTCTGTCTGTCTGAACTCGAGCTTGCGACGGACAATTGATATGTATACCAGTTGCTCAATGTAACGGTGGTGGTAGAATTCCTTGGTTGTCGTTCCAACCTACCAACGGCTTTTCCACACCAACAACGACCACCAGTGGTCAAGGTTGAACTAATTCCTTCAACCTTCTGCTCACGACATCCTTCCAAAACTGGGTTTCCACGACAGTAGTGCGATTAGAGAAAGAAAGTAATCATTCCTCCATTCTCGTCATCACCATTAGGTCAATACGAAGCTCTGATACCAAGTTGCCACACCCTAGTCTAGAGGATCGTTAAGTTACTTTCTGTTGCGAAGTAGTCGTTGCACAGTTACAGTCATTTATACTACAGTTGAGACTAGTTGTTAGTCTTCTTTTATCTAACTACAGACAAGTATGGTTTGTTGCTTGCACCAGTCCCAGGTGCCAACAAAACTAGGAATTAGGGTTGAATATCCGGTGGTCCAAAAGGATACAATTTGGTGGTGGGGGCATCTTGATTTGAACTGCAACAGGTACAGAAGGGTACGAATCGGGACATTACCCGATCTGCAATTTACCCTACTTATACAAAAACACTAATTCCTAAACCCTAAGTAATCTCTCGGCTATCTATTTCATTTCTTATTTCCTCGCCGTCCTCATCTTCTTTGTTTCTCATCCAATGGGCTTCATTAACTCCCATTTCCCACCACAAAATCTCAAAAACCCATCTGAAAATTGACTAGATTGTTAACAAGGGAAGTTGAAGAACACAGTACCTGCGAAAAGGACATTGAACCAGCAGCGACCAACTCCATCTCCAAAACTTGCTGTGAGAGAGAGAGAGAGAGAGAGAGAGAGAGAGAGAGAGAGAGAGAGAGAGAGTTGAGCATGAGAACTGAATCAACAAAGAGAGGGTTTAGCGAAGAGGGAACTTACCTTACGATTGAGGACACGTTGTAATGTCTGGTGGAGCATTTGTTCTTGGTAATCAGCCTCACCCGTTGTCATTATTTGAGAAACATCGCCCTCAAATATCCTAGTCAAAAGATGCACCACGACGATCAAAAAAGTAAAAACAATTGAAAAGAGAAAATTACAACAGTCCTGCCCTGGTTTAAACCTTGCAGCAACCAGGGTGTTTTACTGTTTATAACCCGTTAACAATGTTAACTATATACACATATGAATAATATGTATAAATGCATCCAAATAGTTTTTATTTGTACCTTAGTTGTCTCTGCAGGGCCTCAATCTCGTCTCTTAATCTACCAACTCGTTCAAACTCCTGCCAATAATCATCCGCTCGCAATGTTAACACATTCACGACTCGTTAGGAAAATTGAAGTTTAAATCTTTAGATTGTAAGCGATTCATAAATTCTAACTATCTGAATTTTTGGAAAAAGATTTGAATTTTTATTATTATTATTGTTTGACAATTGATAAAATCCAATAAAAATAGAAATTTTAATTTTTTAGAAAATGACATGTTTAGTGTTAACCAAATAAATCATAGTGACTAAGAAATCTTAATATTTTTATTAGTAAGAGTATAATAAAAAACAAGAGATAAAATAGGAGGAAAAAAATCTCGCAAATTAAGATATAAAATCTATCTGATTGTGAGATGTTTGATATTTTTAGATTTCAGAAATTTCAAATTTATTAAGTTAAAATCCACAATATAAAAAATATGAATTTTTTTGCTAAATATATGGATTCAATGAATCCATGATCCTAATATTTTTCTCAGCTAGATGGAAATAATAAGTCTTTTTCCTAAAAGGTTAGCCATGGCTATTCATTATAAGGTCCAAATTCTAAATAAACTAATCTTGATATGTTTCATTCATGTTTAAACTCGAATTCACTAATCTTGGTAAACATTCCATTCATGTTTGAACTCCAATTAGAGATTCTTATCTAAGAAAAATTGTATGTAAATGTAAAAAAATATATTATTTATTTTATTTTAAAATTAAAAGTTCTAACCCTTGTAAAAATGTCATATTCATAATTCATGAGAGGCCAAATTAAAATATTAGTAAAAGCTGTAATTAGTAAAATATTAGTTGTATCTATCACTCTTTACCATTATGATAGATTCAGATTGTGGAGTAGATAACACATTTTCGAATGAATTGAATTTTCTTTTCAAATGATTAAAAGTGAATAAAATTTAAAAAATTCAAATAAATTCATTTTTATTAAAAAAACAAATATCAAATAAGTTGCATAATGATTGATAAAGATTACGGTAGATATGCCAACCACCTCTATAGTGAATTGACACACAAAATCCATTTAAATACTCTCACAACATGAAATGTCTTTTGTTTGAGTTGTGTAAATGACAAATTTTGTCTTAGAAAAAAAAAAACATTCGACTGTTGATCAGTGTGCTGCAATGCCAATCTGGTGTGGAATATGGTTAGAAAAAGAGGAAATGTGGTGTAAGCATACAGTGCAATGTGGTAAAAAATGAAAACTTAATGTCCAGCAATGGTTTGGTTTAGCGATTTTCTTAAATGGTATGCAACAACAAAATTAAACTGGTATAACCCTAATAAAGAGAAAAAGAAAACCTAATGATGTTGATATGGTGCATATAAAAGAGTAAGCATAAATGTGATAGAAAAAAGATGCGTATGTTTGTTTATATTGAGTAAACTTGTACCTCTTGATCTCTCAATTTCCCCTAAAAAAATTCCTCAACTCATTTTCTTTTGTTTCCTAGTTTAATGACTTGCAAGTCACTTGTAAGTTGTACCCAAATGTAATCTACTCTTCCCCAACCACCCTGAACTCTCATTTTCTTCTTCTTCTTCATTGACCTAGCTCTTATGAACTAGTGTAAGCTCAGCTTTTTATCCCAAAACAGACTTTTTTTTTTACAGACTTTGTTGAGGGTTAAAAAACTTGGTATTTTAGGTCACGTGGATACACATTGCACATAGATTTGATAGATATACCTGGAGCTGGCTGTCAGAAGCATCTGAGAAGCCACTGGCGGGAGTAAAAGAGCCAAGCAAGGACAAAAACAAAAACAAAACCAAAGCCAATAGCTACGTTGTTAATCACTCCATTAGATTTGATAGCGAAATGGAAAGTGAAAGCGGCAGAGAAACAAAAACTAGTGGGCATGCAAACCAAACTAGCTAGTAATCAAACTCCAAAGTCACCACCACCTTGGCCCTGCGCCGCGGCCACCTGGGAAGCAAGCAGCGTGATGGTCGCTTTCAGCCTGCAACTTGGCAACAGCATTTTGCAACAACTGCACGCATATACCATAGCCAAATAATGTCAGCTCCTAAACTTCCCCACACAAAAACGAACAGATCGAAGAGCTAGCAATCAATAATTACCTCAAACTTATTCAGCCTTGAACGTGATAGTGGAGAATCAAAAGTCGAATCGGTTAGAGAAGTGATCATAACAAGAACATGAAACACAAGACTGGAATTCTGAGGATTATTCACAGTTCTCACCGTCCTTGTTCCTTCTCGGCGAGGTTGACGTATCGGCTCAGAATATCTTCAATACTTTGACCAAACCCAAGAAAAAAGGCAAGATTTTGATCAAAACCCAGTTCATGAAATTGGTCAAAGAAGCATAAGGGGGAAAAAGAATTAAGGAATTGTTATTATATTTACTTATTGGGACCGGAGAAGAAGGTGAGCCTGCCGGAAGGGGAAAACAAGATGAGGGCAACATCGACATCGCAGAGAACAGAGAGCTCGTAAGCTTTCTTGATGAGCCCATTCCTTCTCTTCGAGAAAGTCACCTGCCGGTTCGTCGTGTTCTCTATCCTCTTTATCGCAAGCTTTACTCTTCCCATCTCTTGGATCAACACAAAAGGGCAAAAAACTAGGCGAAGAAATTGAACTTTTCACCCCCGGAAAACTTGCAACTTTTTATGGGTATGACGAAGCTATGAAGGGCAGTTGAGAAGAATGGGAAGCAGTATTAATAAAGGCAGTACTACGTTTGTCACTATTAGGCATGGAGGTGTGTTGCTTGGAACTCGAGAGAGAGAGAGAGAGAGACAGAGGCGGTGTTTGAGAGCAGAAACTGATTGAGCTTTTATCCTCTTCAACAAACCAACATGGGTTTTGTAAGCGGTTATAAAATACCTAGCACAGAGGGTTTTTTGCAAATTTTGTTTGTTTATCGTTTTCACTATTTTCACGGTGTCAATTATATAAATGGTTTAATTGTGTTTTGAGTAAAATCAAATGTATGGTATATTCTAAGTAAGAAAACAACATCTAGACTTGTTGGAATTAACTGGAGTTTGAGACTTAGTACTATAACCTTGTTTAAAATTTAGGTTTTATATGCACCATCTTAGTTTTGACTGTATAAAATTTAGATAATTAACCTCTAGGGTTCACTAATTAAAAATTAAGATATAAATAATGTCCATAATTTTGTTGATTCAAGATTTAAATAGCATTTTCATACCAAAAGTATTCAATACCCTAAATTTTGTCTGAAATAAGAATAGAAAGTACCATATACATATATAAATATCACCCTAGCTACATAGAGAGGCGGTGTTTAAGAGCTGGAAACTGATTGATATTTTATCCTCCAACAAACCAACCTGGACTTTGTAATTCGTCCAATAATATATGGTAGAGTAACTAGGTTGAAAGTAGGAAGAATATTTTTTTTCTTTACAATTAATTATTTATCTCATATAAAAATATCAATATGAGGATTCGAACCTGGGTCTCTTAAAACAAAGACAACAATCACAACCAACTACACTAAACAAATTTCTTGTGTCTTTTTTAGTACAAAACATAAACCAAGTTAAACTCTGAAAATTGGATGAATTTTCCATCATGATTACCAAGCCCACTATGTCTACCGTGTGTATTTTTATGGTGCTTGATACTTCAGTTTTCATAGTAGAGTTTCATATAATTTTCTCAATTTTAAATTTTTTGCTCTCGCCTTAATTTTTTGCTAAAGGTAGATTGGTAATTGGCTACCATAGAAGAAAATAATTATGTTACTATGTGTTGTGTCCTTGAAATTTTCAATTTAAATTTAGCATTTTTTTATTTTTGTTCTTATCTCTTTTAACGTCCTGCGGAATTCCTTCCATCGTGCAATTGTTTGCGCCACTTTCACTTTCCAATACAAGGCCACCTTTGAAATCAATCTTTTGGTATCTCTTGGTACTACGATTTTATTATTGGGAATTTAAGTTAGGCAAGTAGAAGATTTCAACTCCGATATCAATCCATGACGAATAGAATGGAGGTCAATAAATGGAGTTGCAGAAGGAGGATTAGAGATTGAATTTTTTATTGAAACATATGCCTCTTGAGATAAAATTTTGGTTGTACAACAGAAAGTGGTGACTATTGGACCTTTAAGTTTATGATTTTTGCAGCTAGGTCAATTCTTTATTCAACATACTGGAACTGATATATAAGGAGTGTCTAATTTTGTGCCTTATTACTTCGATCGAGTCTATTAGCATATTGGAGGTAATCCTAATTTTGTCGTTTGCTCTCAAGTTTTATTGGTCCCCTCTTAACTGAGTTGTTAGTATATAGTTGACTTGAATCATCAACTCTCCATTTCTTTTTGATTAGTGCCATATTGTTCCTAAAATGGGAGCATTAAAGTGATTAAACCCTTTCTGTAGGATTGTGAGGTTTAAGATTGTGTTTCAAACTATCTATGGCGTATGGGAATTCCAGTGAACTTTTGTACTCTATCTTTCTTGACAATCAACTAACCAATAGCATTTTAATTGGGGCTTAATTATCATTTTAAAAATGAGATCAATGATACATTGTTATATTTTATACTCTTATTTCCCCGAAAGTTTGACCTATATATTCTTTCTTTAAGTATCATCTCGATCAAAGAATTGTCAATAAAATTAAACGGGTTAATAGATTTAAATGTAACATAAAAAATACAAATAATCAAATATGAACATTCCGGCCAATGGGCCAGGTTATAAGCTAGTGGTTATAATTACCCAGGAAAGAGGGTTTTGCAACTTTAGTTTGTTTATCGTTTTCACTATTTTCGTGGGGTCAATTATATAAATGGTCACCAAAAAAAATTGATGAGGTTTTGGATATGGTAGCAGGACTAGAAACTGTTGTTTACACTTGACTTAAAAAATGGAAACCATGGTTTATACGGTAAAAATTGATACTCTAACAGTATAGTATATACTATTAGATCTGGCCCTTAATTGTATTTAGATGAGTTACACTCAATCTCAACGATTAATTATTGCATTCTATTAGAATAAATTTTAAATATTGTTTTTAGAGGATTGGGATCCGGGGTTTATCAATTAGATGTTAGAGTATAGTATCACATCCCAATATCGGTTTAATTCATGATTTAGACAAAGATATCTCACTAGGAAATTATAAGTAAAAATTTAAAATAATATATATTTTAAAATATTTGAAAAATTTATTTATATTTAGATAATGTTATTTTTTCTTATAATTATTTTCTTCTATTGGTTATGGTTAATAGTATACTATCTTCCCCAACAAACACACCTAATAATTGCTATTCGTTCCAGTTTAGAACGTATTGTCACTACTTTTGGACCGAAGTTTGGTGATTGGCAGTGGCGACTTGCCACCGTCCTTTTTCATTTAGGAGGGCTTGGGGTTTATGCTGTTGAAGGTGTCCTGCATTATACTTTTTGGCGTCTCGTTTGCAGTCTGCTAAGTTGCAGGTTAAGCTCCTACGTCATTCTGGTATTCTATCTCCTGGTCCTGCCTTTGATGATGCTCTACGCACCTTTAATGAGTTTACAGGTTCTGATCTATTAAGCAATCCTAGAGAAGATGCTGCCCCAAAACTTATGAAGAAACCGGCATACATATATTTCACGTAGGTTGCTGCTATTTCAGATTTTGTTTTCTCGTTTACTACTTGTTAGGTTTCTTTGTGGAAGTCTCAGTAGAGTGCACACTCTTCTAATTGGTCGTGTGATGTTCTTATTGCTGGGTTGGGCCAGACTATGAATGGGAGGACATATTGTAGTGTGCTTAGTTATCGACTGTATGCCCCATTATTTTCGGTATCTAGGACCTGTCCTACTTGTTCCTGTGTCTTTCATGGTGATGTCTCCGGGGATCACGTTGTGTCCTGTACTGTTACTGTGGGCATTAAGTATCGACATAACCTCGGTCTTGACACCTTATTGGACATTTGTTACATGTATGAGATTTCTGCTGGTAGAAAGATTGATATCGGTTTGGTTGATGGGCATGGCAGAACCCTTCGCCCTGCGGATTTGCTGCTTTATTCCCGGGATAGGGGGTGAGATGTGTGTGGATTTGACTGGGTCTTCACCTTTGACTCAGGCTGGGATGACTGGTTATGTGCAAGGCCAAGTTGTTGCTGATGCTGCTCAGCGAAATTGTGCAAAGTATCGAGACTTGTGCATGGCGGCTGTTATGGTTTCCTGACCTTTCTGTTTTTTCGCTGAGAGAGTTGGATGCGACATCTGTGGCTTTGCTCATGGATCTTGAAATTCTTTGTGTCTCAGGATGTGGAGGCTTGGGTGGCCATGTACGTTTTATATAGACTTAGCTTTGCTGTAGCAGAGGGAGTGGGGGCCTTGATTGTATCTTACCTGCCCACTATTTTTTTTGTAGACCTTTGTTTGATCTAAAAAAATAATAAATAAAAAACATGGTTACATAAACCCAAATTGATTGAGAAGCAAGGTTGTCAACCCCGAGTCCATCGCGGGTTGCTCCGGATTGACCATGACCTAATGAGGAAATTGAGTATCACACACCCGCGGGTCCACCCATAACAAGGTTCTCATGTTGGAGGTTACACGACATTGTTATTTTCCTTTGGTTAGCGAATTGCCCCTCTTTTTGGGTTTGCCCCTTCATCTAATATTATTTTTGGAATTTTAAGTTGAACATTTGAATATTGATGTTACATGAGTGTGTTTAAATTTTCACTATATGTTAGATCCAAGTTCGAACTGATATTTTTGCATAATGTTATATATCATTACCCATACGTTAGATAAAATTTTATATACTTTGTAAATGTATGAACAAAATAATGACAATTTTTATATATCTAGGCTAAACCGGGCTAAAACAATCGTCTCATTAGCTCTCAACTTACTAGCTAGACCTGTCCAACTGGCTAACCCGGGTTAACAACATTGTTGACAAGACAACCTAATTTAATTCACACTTGATCCAAAAATCAAACCTGTTACTCAGCTTAATTATATTCAATCAATAATTTTTTGGATATCACCCTAATTGATTCCTCTCCTACTATGTTACCAGACAAAACTCTATAGAATGACGTATGAAAATCTGATAAGAAATAACAAGATAATTAGAAGAAAAATACGATAACTAAATATTTGGGTTCTCCTTCCCACCCTGGTTCGGCGACCATAATCCCTTTCCTACCCAAAATATGACTACTTATCGCACAAGGACACTAGAAATAACTCCTAAACAAATACCAAAAGAAATTCCAAATCATACTAGAAAAAATAAACCATAATAATATCCCACATAATAATTACATATATGAGCCTCGAAAAATTCCCAATTATCACGATAGCTCGTCTTGGAATAATCATCTCCCCTTAAGCAAAGCCTTACACTCAAGGTTGGTCATCCTCATGGATGAATTGGCTTCATCTCCTTTCTTGCAACGCCATTCACGAGGAGAACATTGGTATTGGCGCATTAATGCCCAATGGTGAAGCGCTCGTCACAATGAAAGCATAATCCTTGCGCTCTTGGCGTGCTACTTCTTATGGTGACATCCTTCGTGCGGTGGGATTTAGTGGCGACGTAGTTCGGGGTGGTGTCGGAGTAGACTAGGCCAACTCCTCGTTCTTTACATTGGCAAGTTGGATTTCCTCTCGTACAGTTTATGTCCTGAACATGCAGATGGCATCAGAAGTTTCCGGCTTAAGTTCACCGATAAAAGAGCCCACCAATGCTTCTTCCGTCCACCTAAAGTACTGGTTAGCTAGCTTCTCAAAAGGCATTAGATCGCCATTTAAAGACCCGGTTTGCTTAATATTGGCTAAGCACTGGCTAGAGTCTCGTGGCTTGAAGCTCCCTCAGACGGCCTGAATCCAGCCACAACTCTTCATGAAATCGCGGCCAAGTAATTGCCAATTCCGAGACGTATGTGCGATCCATTCATTTCAACCATTGATTGGCGTCACCCTCCACGTGGAAAGATATTAATGGAAACTTATACTCCTCTAGAGTCTCCTGAAATTTAAAAAACTACTCCACGCGTGCGAACCACCCAAATGGGTCATTACTTCTATAAAATTTATGAAACTCAAATTGAGCTAACCTCGGTCAAAAAATTCTTTACCTATCATCCATTTGGTTTGATCAATCTCCGCGTGGATAAACCCTCTCGTTGACGCACTGACCGGTTGGTCCATCCGGTCATCTGGACGACTCGACCCGGTTCTTCGACCACCCATTGGCGACATGCTTCCTCCCACCGTGCTCCGCCCGATTCAACTTTCGGCCCGCTTGTTCCTCCAGTTCCAGTTCCGGCCCACAAAGCTCTTCTACATTATATGCTAGCTCCGGCCCCAATGCTAGACCCCAACAAAGCCATTGGAGCTGGGCTTGGGTCAGGTCCGCTCGCCCAGGGTCCTTTTGCTCCCTAGCCCGCGAACTATGTTCTGATTGCCCCTGTTGAGTTCTGACCCATTTTATGTCTCTAGACCCCGACCCACTACTCGTGTGATATGGCATGTGGTTTTGAAGCCCGAATTTGAATAGACTTGGCTCCACTCCTGGGAAACTTTGGGCGGAAAGGAAACTCTCACCGGCGCTATCATCCCTTCTAGCCCGATACCATCGGCATCGTTTGTCTTGGTCACCGCCTTCAGCGCCATGACCCCCATTCCAGTCCAATTTGATACCTTCACTTGACATGCTCCATCCCACCGTTGCCCCGCTCCTTCTCTCGTTTCCATTGTCGAGTGCATCCGATTGTATCCCTGAAGACAGTGCATGGTCGTCCTGAGCAGCGACCTTTCATATTCTCAGCCACTGACGTGCATCCTGAATTCTTGTGAACCGACGTGAGGAGTTCGCCTTACTGTCTGTTGATGTCCCTCATTGTTCCTTCCACTCTCGAGAATTGGTCGTGGATGGAGGCTTGCGTGAGTGCATCAGTCTCGACATCAAGCTTGCGATCGATGGGTTTGACGCGTTCGTCAATCTTGCGATCTATCGCAAACAGTCATTCTCTGATTTGATCCAATCGCTGGTCGTGGCCTGCAATCCTCTTCTCTAGGGCTAGCATATACAGAAAAAGTCTAGGTTGACCTCGGTGCTCTAAGATGCTCTCATTTTTTCTTATTTGCTCGCCATTCTGGAACTATACTTTGATACTAGTTGTTACGAGACATAATGCTATGCAATGACGTCTAAAAACCTCATCGAAAATAACATGGTAATTTAAAGAAAAAAAATGATAAAATAAAGACAATAACTAAATCTTTGGGTACCAGTCTCCTTATCATTAAACTAGAGAAGAAAGAACATGCTTATAGGCATAGAAAATCCCAAAATTCTTTTTCCTTCTCACCATGGTTCGACCACCATCATTCATTTCCTACCCAAAATATGACTATTTATCCCACAAGGACACTAGAAATAACTCCTACACAAATGCCAAAGGAAATCCAAATGCTTATATGAGCCCAAAAAAATATGCCTCATAATAATTAAATATGAACTTAATTAAATAAACTACTCATATGAGCCCAAAAAAATGTTGAATTATCACGATAGCTCATCTTGTAACGTACTAGTTCATATGTGTGGCCTTTTGGTTATATTAGATATTGAGTTATTTTTTTTATGAATTGAGATTGATATTAATATTGGGGTGTTACTCGGTATTCAAGATTACGAGACTGGAATTGATATATACCAAAATACCGAGTAATACCGAAATTTATAAGTAATTAAACATAACCCACAACTTCTGCTTGTTGCTCACAATTTGATAACTTGAAATCCTTCTTCCAATCCAAGGCTGAATTTCAAATTTTCTTATATCTCTCTCGTCTCTCAATCAATCTCTTATTAATTCAGAGCACAAAAGTAGACACTCTCATTAGTCGCTTCTCAGTCTCCACTCCAAATCAAAGGTACCGAGGACAATAAATTAAAATATCACCATCTCATCCCTTATGTTTGCTACACTTAAGGTTTAGGCAAACTCAACACTCATTTCTTAGTTTTGTAGCGCAAAATGGGCGCATACGATGAATCCATTCAATTTCTCAACTCAACTTCTCATTGCCAAAGTTTTCAAGCATGGAATTAAACCTACAAGCCTATACTATATAAAAAATTGTTCAGGAATAGAGGGGGTTGAACAATTATTTATTTATGTATATATTTTTAATTTATTAATTTCTAAGATAATTGATTTAGTATTTACGAATAATGATACCGTACCACAATATTTTATGATTAGATACCACATTATTTTTGGAATCGAGATTGAGATTGATTTTAGACCACTATTTGATATTCGAAATTTTGATATTTGTTATTGGGATACCGATAGTGTATCAATTTTCACCTTAATAAATAAACTTATTTGATTATAAGTATTTGGGGTAATCTAACGTGCTAATTTGAAATCTGAACCAAAAAAGTTAATGAAAATCAATGAAGTGTCATTATCATGGTGTAATTTCAAATTTTAGTTACACATTCGTCTTAAAAATTAGACTATGCTGATGAATTTGCCAGTAACCATATGTGATTAACCCATTTTGCTAGGCTTAGGCTAGCCATTGCCCTAGTATGACATGTCGTATGAGACTCTTACTTCAACAGGTCGCTAACTGAAAGTTTGGCCTTTATTGTTGCATTCGGTGCATGCATGGTAGCTTGTTAGTTGTTAGTACGTTGTACTGCAAGTATTTCTGCCTCCTTTCCCCCCAAAAGAATGTACTATAGAAACCAGATACAAAACATATTTCATAAAACTTTGAAAGAAAAAAAAATGCGAGGAGCTTTCTTTATTATATATTTAGGAAAAGCAATTTGTACCATTGTGTTGCCTTCAAACTTAAATTTTTTAATATTATTGTTTTGACCCATAATCAAAACCCAATTTATAAATTTTCTATCATTTTCAAAATTCATTATCAAAACCCAATAATCCGTAATAGTAATTAGTAATATACAAGATCGAGGTCAGGAGGCCCCCATAATTTGGAGGCCCTTTGCCGGAGGGCCTATCGGCACATCCACAGGACCGGCCCTGTACTCCGACATGCATAAAAAGTGAATACAGAATAATATTTTCTCAACCATTCGTGTTATTGAGACCAACTCGTTTATGACATGGTACCAGACCTAGTTTGGTCATGTGATCATGTGTTTGAATTTTTATGACTTCAAATACTAACAGTTGATTGAAGCATAAGGTATGTGTAAACTTCAAGTCCGTGAATTGGTGTGAAAAAAGTAATATAAGATTTATAATTAATCTTCTCATAAACAAGGTTGTTAACCCGTGACTCGCTCCTAGTGAGACAAACGAGCAGTCCACACCCGCTGGGGCGACCCGCTCCAAGGTACCGAGTTGCATGTCAAATTGCGTCGTTTTTTCCTTTTGGTTTGTGACATGTGTTATTTTCTGATTTTCCTTTTCGCCGAACCAAATTTTGGGAATTCTAAGTTGAACATTTAAATATTTATGTCATATAAGTGTGTGTGGATCTTCACTATATGTTGGATCAAACTATGACATGTTATTTTGTAGTAATCTTATATATGTTAGATGGGATTTTATATAGTTTTTAATTGTAAGAACAATATAATGACTTTTTTCATATATCTGCGCTAAATTGGGCTAAAGCGGTCGGACCATTAACATTCAACCCACTTATTTGACTGAGCCAACGAGCTACACCATGTTAACAACCTTGGTCCTAACAGTTTGAGTTATTGAGACCAACTACATATATTCTTGGGTATGTGTTGATGTGACTTGAAGCAGACTATTAGCCGCTACGACTGGAAGTCACAGTTTATGGGCTCAATGTTATTTGGGTTCGGGTTCTAGGCCTGGTTGTAACCGCTTTTCCTTCACCATATTGTATTAGGATTAGACCTAGGAGAAGTACTATAAATACTTCACATACTCCTTTGTAATCTGTATCTTCTCGAAGTATAGTGGAACTGACTCTCTCATGCCCGTGGACTAGCTTACACACATTGTGTTAGTGAACCACGTAAATCATTTTTTTATAATGGTGAGAGCTTAAATTAAATTATAAGGAACCGAAGGAAGAGTACATAGTACAAAGAGACGCAAGATCAGCTACCTACAAGGAGACGCAAAAACAAAAACAAAACAGAACGCAGCACAAGGAGTGCTACTCGACGAAAGAGAGTTGAGCCCACCAGAAGACCCTTACTCCCAAAAAAAAAGCCTAAGGAGGGGAGAAAAGAAACAGAATACTGAAATCAAGAACAAAGAAAGGCAAAAGAAAGAGAGAAGGAAACTAATTACAGAGAAACAAAGCACCTGGCAACCACTACAAAGTTGCCCGCAAACCACCAGCCAACAGAAACCGAACAAAACGTTAACGAAACTCTACCCAACAAGCTGTGATCTCAACCAGTTACAACCTTGCTCCCTACCAATCTTTCCGTGCGCAACGAGCCACTCAACCGTTGATCTGATCGCCTTCCGTGCAATTACCTTGGGCTCGTTGATGATGTCTTGGAAAGTGCGCTTGTTTCTTTCAAGCCAGACTTGCCAGCACACGGCATGAAGTATACAGAAGGCAACCCAGTTGCCAAAACTATGTGGAACATTAGAATTCCAGTTTCGAATGATGCATAGGATGTTGCTGTTCACCCTTGGCAAATCCGAATTGCCACAAACTCTCCCAACCTCATTCCACACCTCCTTCATGAGCTTGCAGTTGATGAAAAGGTGGTCGATGGTTTCCTCCTCGCAGCAGCATAAACTACAGCGATAAGCAATTTGCCAACCCCTTTTCTGGATGTTATCTTGAGTAAGCACTCGCTTATGAGCCAATGTCCACATGAAGGCATTTATCTTCGAAGGGATGCACCTCCTCCAAAAGGAAACGCTTGGGAAGTTATTAACCCCTGGGAATCGGCATGCAACCAAGAATAAGTACATAGTACGAACAGAGAAGGTCGAGTCTGGATCGGGGGACCAGACCAATCTGCTTGGTCCAAACGCTACCCGAAGAGAATCAATAGAATTAAGCAACTCTAAAAAACTCACTCTCTCCCTATCAGCCCCACCCCTCAAATTATTATTCAGATAAATTCTCCACTCAATACTCTCACCTGAATGGTTGATGACATCCTGGATACAAGCGTCCGGCACTACGACAACAACGGCTACTCTAGGGAAGCACTGCGCGAGAATCTTGCCAGGAATCCAACAGTCGTTCCAAAACGAAACCCTTGCCCCTCCACCATGATCAATAACCACCGCATTCCAGAAATCATTGTATTCCTTAGTTATTTTGCCCACACCGAACCCCCAAAACCCCTGCTGCATTTCTTGCTTTGCCAAGTCGAGTTACTGGCCGAAAATTTAATGGCGATGAGTTTTCTCCACCAGCTCTCTCTCTCCTCGGCGAACTTCGACAGCCACTTTGACAGCAGAGCCTTATTGAAACAATTAAGATCTCGAACCCCCAATCCCCCATTTTCTCTACTTGCTTCACACATATCCCAGTTAAGAAGAGGGATCTTAAGCTTATCCCCTGTTCCACTCCATATGAACCATCTTTGGATTCCTTCGATCCTAGTAAGAACAAATGAAGGGTCCCTCAGAAGTGAGAAGTAATACACAGGCTGGCCAGAGAGTGTAGTTGACTCACTCTTACTGTCACTCTAGAAAATGGCCAAGT